TTTACATAGTCCTGAGTTAAAAAGAAAAAAACTTTAAAAATCTTCTTCTCCAGAATTTGTTCAAATCATGACCCCCAGGGCAAGGGTGGGCCGACCCAAGTTTTACATAGGAATATATAGGAAAAATCTTTATAAAATCTTCTTCTAGAACCACTGGGCCAGGAAAGATGAAACAATCATTCAGGTTCAAATTCAAGTTTGTTCAAAGGGTGCGGCCAAAATGGCCGACCCAAGTTTTACATAGGAATATATAGGAAAAATCTTTATAAAATCTTCTTCTCCAGAACCACTGGGCCAGGAAAGATGAAACTCATGTGGAATCATCCTCAGGTAGTGCAGATTCAATTTTGTTCAAATCATGACCCCCGGGGCAAGGATGGGGCCAAAATGGCCGACCCAAGTTTTACATAGGAATATATAGGAAAAATCTTTATAAAATCTTCTTCTCCAGAACCACTGGGCCCGGAAAGATGAAACTCATGTGGAATCATCCTCAGGTAGTGCAGATTCAATTTTGTTCAAATCATGACCCCCTGGGCAAGGGTGGGGCCAAAATGGCCGACCCAAGTTTTACATAGGAATATATAGGAAAAATCTTTAAAAATCTTCTCCTCAAGAACCACTGGGCCAGGAAAGATGAAACTCATGTGGAATTATGCTCAGGTAGTGCAGATTCAAGTTTGTTAAAATCATGACCCCCAGGGCTAAGGCGGGGCCAAAATGGCCGACCCATTTTTCACATAGGGATATATAGGGAAACCTTTTAAAATCTTCTTCTCCAGAACCACTGGGCCAGGAAAGATGAAACTCATGTGGAATCATTCTCAGGTAGTGCAAATTCAAGTTTGTTCAAATCATGACTCCCGGGGCAAGGGTGGGGCCACAATGGCCGACCAAAATTTAACATAGAAATATATAGGAAAAATCTTTAAAAATTTTCTTCTCAAGAACCACTGGGCCAGGAAAGATGAAACTCATGTGGAATCATCCTCAGGTAGTGCAGATTCAAGTTTGTTCAAATCATGACCCCCGGGGCTAGGGTGGGGCCAAAATGGCCGACCCATGTTTTACATAGGGATATATAGGGAAACCTTTTAAAATCTTCTTTTCAAGAACTTCAAAGCTATGATTAGTGATATTTATATGGAATCATCCTCAGGTAGTGTAGATTCTAGTTTGTTCAAATGATGAATGCCTGGAGGGGGGGGGGGGAGTAAATTCTAGCCCGATGTGCTCAGGTGAGCGCTGTGGCCCCTGGGCCTCTTGTAATTATTGTTATGTTCATAGCATAATGTAACTTAAATGTGAATTTCTACACAGGTGGTGCAGCACCTCCTTCTGCTGGGTCCATTCCAAAGTATACTGGGGGGATGCCAGAAATGGCGCCTACAGCCCCACCCCTGGAGAAAATGGACAGCATAGGAGGGTACAATAATGTGGGATTTAGTGCTAGTAAGTTAAAGTAGATCTATTAAATTACTATGTAATTACTAAAACAGAGTTCATAGTTGCAAACCAAGGCCAAAATGTACAATCCTCTTCCATTCTGGTTGTGGTTGATTGAGCAGATAATATTTCACATCTTATTGAAATATTTACCAATATATGAGTATTTTAAGCATTGTCATAAAATGAATTTAAATTATGTAGCTTTTCCCTTTTTCTGAGAAGAGGCATATTTATGCAGATCTATAAAGTTGCATTCAGCTAAAAGTTTTAAAATATTTTTGCAAATGCACTTTTAAAAAATTAAAATTACATTTTTTTTTTCTATATGAGCCCAATATATAAGGAAAACTCAATGATTTGATGATTTTTGATCAGATCAACTTTCAGGGAATTTTTTTTCTTACTTCAGATGTTCTTCCTCCACCATCCTATGATGAAGTTACAGAACAGCAGACGCCAGAGGAGAGACAGGCCATTGAAAAGTAGGTCACAGAAAAGTAGGTCAAAGGAAAGTGGGTCATGGAAAAGTGAGGGGGAAGGTCACCAATTTTACCTGTACTGTGGAAACATTTTAATGTGGGGATGGGATGGGGTAAGTGTTGACGAGCAACGGAAATTTCCCTTGCTTAAGTATAATTTCCTGGATGGCTCTTAAATACCAAACATTTAGTAAACCTATAAAAAAGATGGGGGAACAAGGCGGGCAGAATGCCTATAGCATTGGATATTAAGAAATCATTAATCAATATGTGAATTGAGTATTTAAATTAGCTTCTCATTATTAAAATTTATGAAATGAGAAAAACCTCTTTTGAGAGAAAAATAATCTCATAATTTTTTTTCTTTTATAAAAATATAAGAACTGATGATATTCGTGGGATTCGAACCCTTGCAATAAAAATCGGAGGTATGACTATCATACTGGTTTGAGACTTACGCGCTAAGCACTATGCTACATGGCGCATGATGATTTCGGGCATTTAAATCATGTTTGTGATATGACCGTTGACTTGATGGACTTAAAGTATTTCTCAGAAAGATGCAAATGTTTTGTCACAAAAGTGTACGTACTTTTTAGCTCACCTGAGCCGAAGGCTCAAGTGAGCTTTTCTGATCACATTTTGTCTGTCGTCCATCCGTCTGTCTGTCTGTCCGTCCGTCTGTGTGTCTGTCTGTGTGTCTGTCTGTCCGTCTGTCTGTCCGTCTGTAAACTTTTCACATTTTCGACTTCTTCTCAAGAACCACTGGGCCAATTTTGACCAAACTTGGTACAAAGCATCCTTGGATGAAGGGGAATTTAAATTATAAAAATGAAGGGACATATCCCCTCGCAAGGGGAGATAATCAAGAAAAGACAAAAATAGGGTTGGGTCATTAAAAAATCTTCTTCTCAAGAACCACCGGGCCAGTAAAGCTGAAACTTATGTGGAAGCATCCTGGGGTAGTGTAGATTCTAAATTGTTCAAATCATGACCCCCGGGGGAAGGGCGGGGCCACAATGGGGAATCAAAGTTTTACATAGAAATATAGGAAAAATCTTTGAAAATCTTCTTCTCAAGAACCACTGGGCCAGAAAAGCTGAAACTTATGTGGAAGCATCCTGGGGTAGTGTAGATTCTAAATTGTTCACATCATGACCCCCGGGGGAAGGGCGGGGCCACAATGGGGTATCAAAGTTTTACATAGAAATATATAGGAAAAATCTTTGAAAATCTTCTTCTCAAGAACCACTGGGCCAGAAAAGCTGAAACTTATGTGGAAGCATCCTGGTATAATGTAGATTCTAAATTGTTCAAATCATGACCCCCGGGGGAAGGGCGGGGCCAGTATAGGGAATCAAAGTGTTACATAGAAATATATAGGAAAAATCTTTCAAAAATCTTCTTCTCAAGAACCACTGGGCCAGAAAAGCTGAAACTTATGTGGAAGCATCCTGGTATAATGTAGATTCTAAATTATTCAAATCATGACCACCGGGGGAAGGGCGGGGCCAGTATAGGGAATCAAAGTGTTACATAGAAATATATAGGAAAATTCTTTGAAAATCTTCTTCTCAGGAACCACTGGGCGAAAAAAGCTGAAGCATATGTGCCCATGGAAGGATCATGGGGTAGTGTAGATTTCAAAATGTCTAAATTATGATCAGTGGGGTAGGGTGGGGATGCATTATGTATAACAAGGGGGAAATCTGGTAAAGAACAGAATGGTCAAAGCTTCTCAGGTGAGGGATGTGGCCCATGGGCCTCTTGTTAATAGATATAGTGGGTCTTCGCTCCATGGTTTTGTAAACCAAAAAATGTATATTTTATTGCAAACTTTTAGGATAATTATCTTTTCAAAAAAATGGAGCGAAGACCCACTCATATTGAAAAATTTAGTAAAAGTAGGAGGATAATCAGGATATGATCGTTTTTGTTCTTTTTAGTGTGTGTAAGCTTTTTCATATGTAATACCCTCGGCGTCGGCGTCGGTGTCGGCGTCCCGGGTTAAGGTTAAGTTTTTTGGAGCAGTTTTCTTTTTAAGTACTTCTATGTCCTATATTGATTAGACATGCATGGAAGATGGTTCTAGTGTGTTTCATTGTACCAGTCAAAGTTTCAGATGCTGCAATTTTAGCAAAGGAATGACCAGGTTAATGTTTTTTGGAGCAGGTTAACATTTTTGGTGCAGTTTTTGGTGTAGGTTTCATTTCCAAGTAGCTATAAGCCCTATGTTAACCAAACTTGCATGGATGATACATCTAAGGATGCATACTACCGGGCTTGCTTCGGATGCTGAATCTGACCTTCTTTTTCCGGTTGAGTGAACAGGTTAAAGTTTTTTGGTGCAGGTTTCATTTCCAAGTATCTGTAAGTCCTATGTTGACCAAACTTGCATGGATGATACATCTAAGGATGGATACAACCAGGCTTGCTTTGGATGCTGAATCTGACCTACATTTTCCGGTTGAGTGAACAGGTTAAAGTTTTTGGTGCAGGTTTCATTTCCAAGTATCTGTAAGTCCTATGTTGACCAAACTTGCATAGATGATACATCTAAGGATGAATTTCCCTTGGATACTACCAGGCTTGCTTCGGATGCTGAATCTGACCTACATTTTCCGGTTGAGTGAACAGGTTAAAGTTTTTGGTGCAGGTTTCATTTCCAAGTAACTATAAGCCCTATGTTGACCAAACTTGCATGGATGATACATCTAAGGATGGATACTACCGGGCTTGCTTCGGATGCTGAATCTGACCTACATTTTCCATTTGAGTGAACAGGTTAAAGTGTTTGGAGCAGGTTTCATTTGCAAGTAACTTTAAGCCCTATGTTGACTAAACTTGCATGGATGATAAATCTAAGGATGCACACTACCGGGCTTCGGATGCTGAATCTGACCTACATTTTCCGGTTGAGTGAACAAGTAAAAGTTTTTGGTGCAGGTTTCATTTCCAAGTAACTATGAGTTCTTTAATGACCAATCTTGCATGGATGATATATCTTAGGATGCATACTACCAGGCTTGCTTCGGATGCTGAATCCGACCTACATTTTGTGGATGAGTGAAAATGTTAGTTTTTGATGTATGTTTCATTTCCAATTAACTATGAGCCTTATAATGTGCAAACTTGCATGGACGATACATCTTAGGATGCACACTAATGGACTTGCTTCGGATGCTGAATTCGACATATATATTTTTCAGATAATAGACCAGGTTAAAGTTATGGTTGCAGGTCTATTACCAAAAAACTTTAAGGCTTTTATAACATTGTATAAACCAAACTTGCACAAATGTTGCATCAAGAGATGAAAACTCAAATTTGCTTTAGATGCTGAATTACATTTTCATGAAGAACTACTTTAAATTTTTTATGTTGGTCTACTTCAAAGTATCAGATCAAAATTGCTTAGATATTTTCATTTTTGGAATGTACATTTTTTGTTGGTTAATTGTGTGACTTTGCCTTATTTAAAGACAACATTCGTTGAGGTGAGCTCTGTAATCTCTGATTACCTATGTTTGTTAATTGTAGAGTTTTTACATTTAGTATACTTTAATATTAGATGAAATATCAAATAGTATTTGGATATAATTGAGATTTAATTTTCCACTTCTTATCTGTCGCACTATAGGCACTTCAGCCACCTTATCCCCCCATCTTCTTGACAGAATGATGTTCATGCATGGTGATGTAAAGAACTATGCACGCTAACTCTAGATTCCTGCCTACATTTTATAACTATTTAATTCAATATTGATGACAATTTGGCCATAAAACCATTGTTTATATAATACAAAGAACAGTTCAATGGCAATTGATGTATTATTTTAATACCTGCAGTGCTAAATAGTAAAATATCCTGAATTCCAGCTCAATCTCGAAATAAAGGGGGGGGGGGGGGGATAAGATGATATTTTCCACTAAAATCGGGCTATAAATCATCACCATATTTTGAAATACTGTAGAAGCACAAATATTCATGGTGATAAAATTTTCTTGTTTTATCATCTAGAATTAAGTTTTGTGGGGATTTAATTTCATTGTTTTGAAAGTAATCCTATCAAATATATAGTCAGATAAAATTTCCTGTGGGATTTAATTTCATTGAGAATTGTTAACAACGAAATAAACGAAATTTAATCCTCCATGAATATTTGTGCTTTTACAGTAGTATTTGATATGAGTAAATGTTTCTTAAATCTTTTTTAATGTATTATGCATATAAAATTCGAAATAGTTGGAAAAATAGCATTTTTGTCGATTTTTGTCTGTAAACATATGTCCCCCTCCCCCCTGTGAAACACAAAAAGTTTGGTATGAATTTGTGAAATGACAGTCGATATTACCCGTGAAAAGGAATTTGTCATTCACGGGCGGAAAGATGTTTCAAAAATATTTTCTGTTTTTCAGTGATTGCTGTTATAATACTGAAAAACATTTTTTACCAAAATTTTAGAGTTATCTTTCGTTGTTTTCCCAAATAAGTAATGCTTTATGAAAATCCATATAAATATCAATATACCGGTAAATACTAAAAATCATTCGAATATCTTAGCTTTAGTTTTGAAAATTGACTTGGAGGTAGGCTGAAGAACAATACTATCATTCGCACTTCTTTATGGGTAAGAGTGACCCACAAAATTCAAACAGCCAGTAATTTGAAAGATTTTATAAATGAAAAAAATATACCGGTTTAAAGAACCTTTATGCAGAATTGAAGTAATTTTTGTGTGCTTTATGATATCAAAGTGCATTTAAAATTTCGAAGTTCAAATATGATTTTGAATTTTTAAAAAAATTTTAATACAGGAAATATTCTGTGTTTTGATATCAGCCTTGATTGCAGATTCCCTATTTCAGTGTCCTGACCATTACAGAACAGGATGCTAGGGAGGCCCTCTTGGGTTACGTGGCAGAACACTGCTGCTACGGTAAAGGGGCCGCAGAGGATCTCAAGTTTACAGACCTCAACCCCACTAATGCATTACATGTAAGTTACATCCCACTTCTTATGGAATGGCATATCTAGAGCTCAAGTATAATTTTTATGCCCGCCATGAATATGACTGGGGCATATAATCTTTGTCATGTCCGTCTTTCCGTTCTTCTGTCTAGCTGTCCTTCTGTCCTTCCGTCACAATTTGCGTTTAGCTTTGTTTGAAGCTCAGTTTCAGATATTTTCATCAAACTTCATATGCTGATAGATATTGATGAGAGCTATTCAACTGCATCACCATTTTTTACCTTGACCTTTCCTTTGACCTTGACCTCACTTTTCTTTGATTAATGTTTAGCTCAGTTTTAAAAATACCATTCAAGATGGTATTATCAAACTTCATATGCTGATACATACTGAAGAGAGCTATTCAACTGCATCAACATTTTTGACCCTGTCCTTTCCTTTGACCTTGACCACACTTTTCTTAAATTAATGTTTAGCTCAGTTTTAAAGATACCATTCAGTATAGTATTATCATACTTAATATGCTGATACATAATGATGAGAGCTATTCAACTGCATCATGTTTTGACCTTGACCTTTCCTTTGACCTTGACCTAACTTTTCCTAAATCAGTGTCAAACTTCATATGTTGATACATACTGATGTAAGCAATTCAAACACATCAACATTTTTCACCTTGACCTTTCATTTGACCTTGACCTCACTTTTATCAATTTGTTTTTAAGTCAAATTTAAAGAAATCTTTCAAGATTTTTTTAATCAAACTTCATATGTTGATACATATTGATGAGAGATATACAACTACATCAACATTTTTGAACTTGACCTTTGCTTTGACATTTTATTTGACCTCACATTTACTAAATTAATGTCAAACTTCATTTGCTGATACATATTGATGTAAGAAATTCAACTGTATCAACATTTTTGACCTTGACCTTTCATTTGACCTTGACCTCACTTTTATCAATGTTTAAGTCAGTTTTAAAGAAACCATTCATAATACTTTCTTCAACTTCATATGCTGATACATACTGATAAAAGCTCTTTTTAACTGCATCAACATTTTTTGACCTTGGCTTTTTTGACTTTGACCTCATTTTAAAGAAATAAGTGTCTAACTTCATGTGGTGATACAAATTTTTCATGTGCGCAATACTAGTATACCCTTGGCGGGGCATTCATGTCCTATGGATATATTTCTAGTCTTTAATAAGTCTCAATTTTAATCATGATTGCCTCTTCTTCTATTGATCAGAAAAAAAAAATTATGTGTCTTGATTGAGTTGACTTCTGTGTTTATTTTTAGTATACTCTGGAGTCCTATGGAGAAGGTAGATCCACCTGCTGGGCATATGAACCCTACTCAGGTAGGATTTTATTGGTGGTTCCTCAGATTTTCTCATTATTCTGTCTCATTTTCATAGAGGCAACAGAATTAACACAAATTTTTCCTGGAGTTTTTTCTTACCTTAAAAAGTTGAAATTTATTGTCAGCATGGAAAATGCATTGAATTTTTAGATCATATGCCATGGTTTCACGAGTACACATTGATATATTTATTATCCTTACGTGTATAATTGTTAAAAACTTCCAGGTCTGGATAATTGACATTTTTACATAAATTCACTTAATCATACAATGTAGGAGGTAAATAAATCATCCATTAAATATTGGAATTGTCCAACCAAAAAAATTGGTTTGAATAATGCATGTATTTACATATAATTAATTAATGCTATGTATTTAAAGTAACAGGGTTGAATTTAATGAGATTTTTAATCATATTTAATCTATTTTTAAATTTCCTCAGGCCAGCCAATAGATGGACCACAGAATGGGCCAGCTCCCGGGCCCTGGGACATACAGGCCTCACCCCAGACAATGTTTCAGAACTCGGAACAAACTTTTGAGGTGCCACACACTGCCTCTGTCAAAGTAAGATTTTTTGAGGAGGTTTCAGATTGATATGTTGTAAAATCATGTAATTTTACGGGGTCAAATTTTCAAGGTCTGAGGAAAAAATATTGGTTTGTGGGGACTTGATTTGTGATTGGAGAATAATAAGTAGAAAGGAAAAGGAATTTATATTTCTTGGTGGTCATAAATTTGTGGGTCTCTACATATCTCTAAACAAAATTAGACCCCCATGAAAATTAGTGATTTCACAGTATATTTTTCTTTAACTTTTAGCAAAGCAAATTTAATTTAAGCTATGTAATTGAATTTTAAAAAAAGTTATAATAACAGTCTTCTTTTGGGTAATAGACAATTTTAGCTGACAGAAAATTTGTCATTGAGAATTTCTTGAAATCTAGCTATTTATCAATTAACTCCAATTTGTTTCAATCATTTATTTAAGGTTGTGAGTAACTGTGGTAAATGTTTGATGTTTACTGTATTAAATTTTGGCAATTTCATGCTGTGGTAATTTCTTAATGTTTAATTTGGTATACATGTGTATGTATGTGTAATTTCCTGAGACACTTTTCACAAAAGTTCTTGCAATGAAGACTAAAAAAATTTCCCATTCTACAACAAACACATAAGCTGCAAAAATCTTATTTTTCTATTACATGTAGTGTTGGCAAGTATCGGAAAAAAACGAATTTTTGTAGTATACCGGTTACTCAAAGCGTTTTTCTCGGAATCTTCCGATCGAGTACCCGGTTACTCGGATGATTTATTCATATTCATATACAGTTGTATATCATTATCTCATCCTTTACTCATCGAGTATTGTGAATGCTTAAAGATACCCACGCACGCACAATCTTGAAAGAATTTTAAAACGTGTATTTATAATTAAAAATTAATTAAATCAGAAGAAAAAATATTCAGTGTTTCACGTTATTTTTCAATGGTGTTCATCACCTTTTACTTTTCGACTCCAGATATAATTATGTCATGATCGAGGAGAATAATTATTTAGAAATTTGAAGTAACAACCGTACACGATAACTCCAATTCACATAAATTACATTTTACAGGTATCGAATCGGCTGTTCTTTTAAATACTTCCAAGGTTTATGTCTTTGGCGGCATCTTGTTAAATTTTTAATAAGGTAATTATAACTCTTTCTTCAAAACTTGTATAACCTGCTGGCAATCAATGCTATCAATTAACTGCGAAAACTAATCAAAACGAATCGATCGTATTAGTGAAACTCTAGATCATTAAATCTAACGGTAAGTAAAATAGAGAAATGCGTTTGTTTACGCTTATAAACAAATTAACATTTTTTTTTTGTTATTTACTTTATAAGATGTATTTTTATCCGAGTAACCGAATAGCATTTTTACTAACCGATACTCGCATCGTTCGACGGTTAACCGGTTAACCGGGTACTCGTTGCCAACACTAATTACATGATATTAAAATTTTATTATTTCATTGACTGTAAATAATGATTTAGAAAAAAACATCTTTAGAATTATTAAATAAAACAATGTAGAATATATACTTTAAATGTATTATATTTAGCGTGTACGATATTTGGTGGAATTTGACTTTTAAATAAGTTAGCTTAGATTTGATTTAGTGGATTTCTTCATATTCTTATTTATGTGTATATGTCCAAGACATTTAGCATTGTACATGATTTAGCGGTTGCTGTGTTTCGCCAAAGCCGCTAAATAGAATACACAGCCAAATGTATACTCCTGAAGTTAATCAGAGTCTTTTCCTTTCTCTGTTATAGCCCTGTCATGACTGCAACGCTCTAGGCGTAGTCGTATGTGGTCAGTGTTATGGCCAAGGGATGGTAAGTAATAGCAGGCATTCTTTTTCTGACTCCAGATAGAATGAAGATTGTTTACAAGTAGCTGCAGATCTATAGCTCATTACTTTTTTGTGCACAATAAATACATGTATGCACTAATTTCAGTGGGTGGCACTGTAGCCGTCTGATTGTGCATCCCATTAAAGTTTTTCAAACCAGGGAGCTACAGATCTGCAGCTTCAAGAATTTTACAAAATACTGTATACAGGGAACTTTTTACCACATTTTATTATGCCTAGGGATGGGTATCGCAAAAAATTTCATATCGCGATATATCATGATTTTTTCCCAAAATATCACGATAATATCATGGTTTTTTTACAAGCAGTTTTTACAATGATTTTGAATGAATAGTCATTATTTTTCTTAAAAATATTCTACAAGAACAAAATTCACTTTTTTGAAAGTTTTATGTACGTAAAATTAATCATGTCTGGATGGTAAAATGCCATTCTTTTCACCTTTCACAACATTTTTTAGACTTTCTGGAATTGTAATTTTAACAAATATTTATGAATAATTTCTGGAATTTATGATATGTACCTAAGTACCGGTGTTGTAGAGTAGGATTTCCCCCATAGCCAGCTTCCCCCCCCCCTCCGGAAATCGTACTCCAGAGTAGGATTTCCCACCTAGGGGAAATATCACAGCAGAGCCAAATTTCCCCCTCTTTCTTTCTCAGAGTAAGATTTCCCCCCTCGTTATAGAGTCAATACAAACCACAGCCGCAATATTTTTGTGAAAAAGAAAGATAAACGACAAACTGATTTTTAAAGGTAAATGAGTGGGTTTTTTTTACTTATGTTGTAAGGCAAATCATGGAATCTCAACCAAAATATTTAGCTTTCAAATGAAATGTAAATATTCTCAAAATATAATGAAACAAACAAAAATGGATGTCTAGATTTGTATATATTTTTGGACCTATTTTGGTTGTAAATGATTACAATTATAACAAACTCTCTAAAATATTAAAAAATTGTAAACTTAATTATATGATGTTCAAATTTCCACCTTTCTGTTAACCATACTTATTACTCTATACATTTTTTTTATCATGTTAAATCTCCTTAATTAAATCCCATTTTTGTGAAACTTTTAATGAAAAGTTTAAATTTTATTTTACTTATTAAAATAGGACTTAATTAGGCCATGCAAAATTAATTCCTTGGTTCTCAGGCCTTTTTTCAAGAAATATGATGAGGGAGGGAGGCATTTTTTTTTTTTTACTTTTTATTGCCCCCAAAACATGATGAGGTAGCTTTTTACATTGTACAAAACCTCAAAAAATGATGAGGGAGGTGATTTGTTGTTTTTATTTTATTGATTTAGCAATAAAAAGGGTCAATGAGGCACCCTTGGAAGAGATGAGGGAGGGCCTGAGAACCAAGAAATTAATTTTTTTTTGCCTTAATTTGTAATTTTCAAGGTTTGTGTGTATCATCTGTTAAAGATCCTTAAATTATATTTCATTACTAGGGGGAAATTGACTCAGGGGGAAATCGCACTCTATACCTACTATACAGAGTAGGATTTCCCCTGGAAAATTGACTCTGGTGTGGGATTTCTGTAGGGGAAATCCTACTCTAGAGCCGGTTTTTCTGGAGGAAAAAACTGTCTAGAGCCAGTTTTACGGGGGAAAGTCTATTCTAAAGCCAGTTTTCCGGGGGGAAAGATTATCGGGGGAAAGTCTACTCTACAAGACCGGTATTTATGTCACCGTATCACGCAGCAAAAAATTTTGATATACCGGTATACTGATAAAATCGCACATCCCTGTAACTCGACTTACAGTACTATTAGACAAAAAAATATGATAAGTGTAATCTGAATTGTAGGTGATGTGTTCCCTTTGCCAAGGACGCGGTCATTTGTCTCGTTACCATGATGGCCATCACAGTCATGTTCGATGTCATCATTGCCATGGATGTGGGAGTATACAGTAATTTTACCCCTTTATTTAGGTTTTTTTTTTTTCTTGAAAATCTTTACGATATACAGTAAAACTTCTCTAAACTAGCTTAGAATCTGCCAGGACTTAAAGAATTTGGAGATATTTAGGGGGAAGTTTCCTGGAGCTGGTTTTCAGGAAAAAGGGGGGGGCAGTTTTGAGAAGTTTCACAGTTACTATTGTAGGTTTTTTTGAGTTTACTAGTTTTAAATTGTGTAAAAAAAAAACTACTATATACAACTACTATAAACTAGCTATGTGCCGAAACTTAAAGAGTAAGAAGGTATTTACAAGAAAAGTTTCCTGGAGATGTTTTCGGGGGGTTAGAAGATTCACAGTAGTTGTATAGGTTTTGTTTAAGTTGTAAATTGTGTAGAAAATGTACATTGAAACTTGCCTAAGCCAGGCACCACTGGCTTCCTAGAAAATGACTGGATTAGACAATATTATAATCAACTGGATTTACTAAAAGGGACTGAAAATTGACATTGTTTAATTAAGACAGATTTCAGAAAAAACAACTTTTGGATTAGACAATTTTTATTGTATATTGTGTGGTGCTTTATTCCCCAAGTGAAACAAGGTAAGTGCCTGTTGTGTCAGGTACTTGAATGCCCAATTAAAAAAAAAATGAATAAAATTCTCTTGTTGCATGTGGACATGCATAATTTTTTGTGACAAAGCAAAGCAAATCAATGGACTATGCTTTGAATGTATACAATGTCTAATCTACGATATTTGTTTTAATAAATGAAACAATGAAAAGGAAATGTTGCCCAAGGAAACATTTTACTTCAGAACTCTTTTAATATTTAATACGATGAGTGTAAATAACCCGACCCACATGAGTGAAATTTTTGCTGTTTTATTAGGTGTTCCTTTTGTTGTGGAGTTGGAATGGTGATGTGTAGAAATTGTTCTGGCTTTAGAAACTTAAAGTGTTATATCAAGCTTACAGTCAAATGGTAAGAGGACTAAAAATAGATTCATCTCTCAGAATTAAAGCTCTGTATCAAAAATATTCATCTGACAGTTACGGTCATCTGGAGATACTATATAAACAGAAGAGAAAAATAAAATTCTTCTGTTAATTTGAGCAAACCATTAATTAAAAATTTTTAAAATGCATTGGACTTTACTTAATTGGACTCTAATTTAAAGACATAGTCAGTTTCACATTATTTGCTGTATATAATTTCTGCTCTTAAATTAATCTTTGTGATCAGTATACTTAATTACTGAAGATCATTTAATTTTCGTGACACCTTACTTTCGCGAGATAGTCTTTGACTCTTTATGAGCGAAACAAAATTTTCACGAATTGTGGTGATTGCTCTATATAATCTTAAGGAAAACTATTATACGCGAGAATGAAATTTTCGCGAGCATACCGTCTCGCGTAATTACGCGAAAATAAAGTTCTCGCGAATAAAAAATGATTTACAGTATGCCTTAATTTAAATATTTTTGCTCCAATATAGGACAAACCACGTAAATGATCACATTATGGAACATGCCCCTCTCCCTGATCATCTAATAAGAAATGTGTCAGGACAGACCGCTTTTGAGGAAACTAAGGTTAAGGTATGGATACTGTAAATTACTTTTTTTATTTTGACTACTTTAAGTGGACCTGCTCAAGAAAATTTCATTCTAATCTGTCAAGAAATGTTTTTGGGAAGGGTCAGTTTAATGAAGGGTTTGAGAGACAACTCTAAAAAGAAATTCTGACTTTTTAAATCATTTGATCAAAGAAAAACTTTTTAAATCATTTGATCAAAGAAAACATTTTTTATTAGCTCACCTGAGCCGAAGACTCAAGTGAGCTTTTCTGATCACAGTTTGTCTGTAGTCCGTCTGTCCGTCCGTCTGACTAGCTGTCTGTCTGTCTGTAAACTTTTCACATTTTCGACTTCTTCTCAAGAACCGCTGGGCCAATTTCAACCAAATTTGCCACAAAGCATCCTTGGGTGAAGGGGATTTAAGTTTGTTCAAATGAAGGGCACAGGGGAGATAATTGGAAATTAATAAAAATTTGGTGGCATGTTTTAAAAATCTTCTTCTCAAGAACCACTGTGCCAGGAAAGATGAAACTTATATGGAAGCATCCTCAGGTAGTGTGGATTCAAGTTTGTTCAAATCATGACCCCTGGGGGTAGGGCGGGGCCACAATGGCCGACCAAATTTTTACATAGAAATATGTAGGAAAATTCTTTAAAAATCTTCTTCTCAAGAACCACTGTGCCAGGAAAAATGAAACTTATATGGAAGCATCCTCAGGTAGTGCAGATTCAGTTTTGTTCAAATCATGACCCCCGGGGGTAGGGCGGGGCCACAATGGCCAACCAAAGTTTTACATAAAAATATGTAGGAAAATTCTTTACTTCTCAAGAACCACTGTGCCAGGAAAAATGCAACTTATATGGAAGCATCCTCAGAAGTGCAGATTCAGATTTATTCAAATCATGACCCCCGGGGGTAGGGCGGGGCCACAATGGCCGACCAAAGTTTTACATAGAAATATATAGGAAAATTCTTTAAAAATTTTCTTCTCAAGAACCACTGTGCCAGGAAAGATGAAACTTATATGGAAGCATCCTCAGGTAGTGTAGATTCAAGTTTGTTCAAATCATGACCCCTGGGGGTAGGGGCGAGGCCAAAATGGCAGACCAAAATTTTACATAGAAATATATAGGAAAATTCTTTAAATTTTTTTTCTTAAGAATAACAAAGCCATAATTGATCATATTTATATGGAAGCATCCTCAGGTAGTGTAGATTTTGTTTGTTAACATCATGACCCCCGGGGGTAGGGGGGCCAAAAGGGTCAACCAAAGTTTTACATTGAAATATATATAGTAAAATTCTTTAAAAATCTTCTTCTTTAAGAATAACAAAGCCATAATTGATCATTTTTATATGGAAGCATCCTCAGATAGTGTAGATTTTGTTTGTTAACATCATGACCCCGGGAGGGGGGGGGGGCAAAATGGCCAACCAAAGTTTTACCTAGAAATATATAGGAAAATTCTTTAAAAATTATCTTCTTCTTAAGAAAAACAAAGCTATAATTGATCATACTTATATGGAAGCATCCTCAGGTAGTGTAGATTCAAGTCTGTTCAAATCATGACCCCCGGGGGTAGGGCGGGGCCAAATTGGCCAACCAAAGTTTTACATAGAAATATATAGGAAAATTCTTTAAAAATCTTCTCAAGATTAGCAAAGCCATGATTGGTCATAAGACTACTTTTGGATTTAAACTTTTCAATGATACTGTAGATCACTTAATTTTCGAGACACCTTATTTTCGCGAGATAGTCATTGACTCTTTATTAGCGAGACAAAATTTTCACGAATTGTGGTCATTGCTCTATATAATCTTAAGGAAATGTAAAATATGCGAGAATTAAATTTTCGCGAGCATATCGTCTTGCGTAATTACGCGAAAATAAAGTTCTCGCGAATAAAAAGTGATTTACAGTAAACCAATTTCTACTTTTTCCTAGCCACAGTGCTCAGATGAGCGATGTGGCCCATTGGCCTCTTGTTGAAAGATTTCTTTCTGTCCAAAACTTTGCTTTTTGCCAGGTTTGTGTTTGTTCACAAGTTATTACTAAATAACACAGAATGTCTATTTTACACAAGGGTTAATGCTGCACAAGTAAAGCTCCATTCTAAAGATAATGGAGCCAGGCCCTTAATTAGCCCGCAAAATATGAATGAATCATGGTGTAAATAGGAACGTAGAGAAATTTCAGACTTTCAAAAATTGTTCCGTTTAAGGTTTGGCCAATCAATCAATTCCATGAAAGAGAAATTAACGAAGCCTCGGAACGTTTGATCAGCGATCATCAGTTCCCCTCCGAACGAGTTCTGATGCAGGTATGTACAGATCAGAAGTATAATAATGAGCAAAGCGTAAAAGTGAAAATAGTACAGTAAAGCTTGTTTAGCACAAACACAGATATTGCAAATTCCCAGCTATTGTGAAGTTAATTTAGATTCATCAAATTCCTTATATTGATATATTGTACAGTGTATAAGGCTATTTAAATTTAAGTCTCTGTTTCTCAGGTCAGTTTTCTCCAAAACAGATGCGGGAGGGCGGCATTTTATTTATCATTTTATTGGCAATAAAGTAGATGAGGGAGGTATTTTATTACGCAGTACAGTTAAGGTGCGCATTGGAAATATCGGCTAAATTTTGTATTTGAAAATGGTATTCGTAATCGGGATGGTGATTATTTTTAGTACATCATTTATATCGGATAATTGTAATTATGATTAAAAACTAAATATCAAGGACGATTATATTTTATATTTAGACTAGTCACGTGATGCGGCAGTCATGTGATTTTAGCACATTGACTTGAAGTATTGATGTTACATATAAATATCACTAGTGCAAGGGCATAACCAAGTTAAATTTCCAAGTTTAGTATATAAATATTTTCAAAACGCATTGTAGTTTCTAAAAAGTGCTGCGATCCTGTCTAAATTCTGCAATTTCATTGTTAAAATTATACTTGTATGACCGAATGCTGTATTTTTTGCTGGTCAGCGGCATGAAATATTGAATATGTAATTAAACTGTTTTTAAGATTTCATCAGGATCGCAGCACTTTTCAGATACCTTAATAGTTCTAAAGTTGAAATGGAAAAGCTTACTTTGATCCATTGAGTGTATGCCCTTGCACTAGATCGATTTATTAAGACTCCCCACATTACCCTCCGATGTACTGGCATACAAATATACGGCAGTGTCAATTAAATACATAATGTACAGAAAATATATTAATAAAATAGTGAAGAAGACATTAAATTCAAGTTTTTTGCCCATACAATATCTGTAAATAATATTTTATTTAATTAGAGAATACATATTTTGTTGAGAAAATATTACTTGATCTGTCTCTCACTGCATACAAATTACGTCACTTTGTAAGAAATGACGTCATATTGACAAGTGTATTTCGATCAGTGACTTGTTTATAACCTGTTTATAATGTGGGATTTAACTAACGACAAAACAACACGCTGTAGTAAGTTTTTATGTAGTTTGATGATTTCTTACTGGTTAAATTAGCAGATAAATTAATTTTGTGGTATTTTAAAGAAATGTTGTATGACGTATATTGTGTATGATGTCATAGTCAAGTTTTCCCGTACAAATTAGGCTCCGCCTCCTTTTTGTAACCTTAACTGTGCTGCGTAATTTGAATTTTCTTTAAAATAAAGATAATTTTTTTTATTCACAGGTATACTTTCCATTTCTGTTCAAAGGGTTTGCTTTACGCATTGCTTATCAGTGTGTGAACATTGTAGGCAATGTCTTCGAAAGTATTCTCAAAGGAAGTAGTCAAAATCTCTTTGCAAATGGCTACCAGAAGTGATATCTGGATACTAAACTATGAAAAAATGAGGATGGATCTTTTTTTTGCGCATTGATCCCCGCAATACCAACTTTTTATTTTATCAAAAATACAATAAAATTAGCAATGCGGCTACCTCAAAATGGATGCCTGGGCCTGAGAACCAGAATTTCAATTTTAGGTAGCTTAATGTATTACGGATATAGTGAAATTAATTCACAGGTCCCAATGACTTTGTTTTAACCGAGTTTTACTGTAATATGATTATTTTTATATACAATTAATATGTTTGTGAACATTGAAAATACAATGCAATATTCAACTTTCAAGTATGGTTGCAGTGATTTATCTGGTTTTAGGAAGTTCTTTTAAAATGACTTTATGCAAAAATAAAGTAAAATGCAAATATCTTTGAATTCCTTCCTTTGTAAAAGCACTGATCTTTCCTCAACTATTTTTTTTTTATATAAAAATGTCCACCTTCTTATTTCAGAGACACAAAGTAAGGATAGTTCCCGTGACGCAGTGTATGTACAAATGGAAGAATACAGAATCGGACTTCATTGTTTACGGATTTGAACAGCACTGTTACGCACCCAACTACCCCCAGACCTGCTGCTGTGGATGTTCTATTCTGTAACCGGTCTCTCGGCAATCAGACCAGGGGCAGATTATATTCCATTATATTCTAGAATGTTTTTTTTACTTGTTTTAAGTTGTAGAGGACGTATTTTATCAGGGCTCCTGAAGCATTTTTGTGACAGATTTTCTTTCCATTTCTCTGCACAAGAAAAATGTAACCATCGTGTGGAGACAATTTGATTTAAGTCGTATTATTTGATCCACTTCAGAAAAATACTTATTTTGACAAGTGAGTTACCTGAGTGGATTAAAAGACACAATTTTTATCAGATTGGATGTAGATATAGGTTGTTATCAGAGGAAAAGCTGAAATATTATATTCAGGTTACAACAAAAATCTATGTTCCTCTAGCTCATATCTTTTAAATGTTTTATTTTATGGTTGTGAATTCAAGTGCAATATTATACAATTATTGCTGTTTTTTGAGGTCAATACAATGATTTAGCCACCTGAGGAGTACAATATTCACTGAGCCCGAAGGAATAACCTGTTGTTTTAATCTATTTTTTTAGACATTATTTGAAATTACATTGGTGCTTTTAACATATCCAGTAATGTGGAAAAAAAGTAGTTATAACTCATGTAGTTTTCCATTTTAAGGAATTAATATTTAGAATTTCAAAAATGTGTTAAATGTACAACCTGGAGACCCGCGCAAACAAGAAATACATGTATCATCCTATTTTAAAGAAAATGTTGACATGTATATATCTACATATATTCATTATACTACAATACCAACCACTGTGAATTTAAGGACTTCTGATATAAATTTTATATATTTACATTGCTTATAACTATGTACAAGGATCGCAACATTTAGTTTTGATTATGAGGTCTGTTTATACATTACTTACATGTACTCATGTATCTATGTATTGTTAAAGCATGAAAGGTTGTTATATTGTTGTATTAATTTTTCTGTATAAGAAAAAAGCAATTTGAGTATTCTTTTAAATCCTGTAGCATTTATATTTCAGAGTCATTCTTTTCTCTCTTTAATACAAGAGCAGTCATTTCTTTACAGCACTAGTGGCAACTAGGTACATGTATAATATGATTTTGTGAACGTCTAAGAAGTTGCTAATTTGACATTCTTAGTCTCTGTGTTGCCACAATATCTATTCAAAGTAGATGTCTTTTACTTAATGTACCATTACAACTAAGACACGATCATTGCTACCAAATTGTGTGTGATAAATGTCTTGTTTTGGCCCATAATAAAGAACAAAGTTCGAGAAAGTTGTTTAAATAGCCTTTATATTTTGTTTATTATTGACTGTGCTTGTTTATACTTTTAATTTTTATATTTCTTGAAACTATTCATGACTATTAAAACTATATAATATCAATGTTTTAGTATTTGTCAAAAAAGATTAAAATTACCTGCCAGTTACCTGCTTAAGTTGGAGGGGTGCACGTGGGGTTGGGGAATGGATTTTGTTTGTCATTCCCATGGCCAATTCTGTTTCTTGAGAACAAGAGACACTTTACTTACACATGACAGTCCCTTTGCGATTAGATGTTATAGGACCATGCACACTTCAGATGACATCTTATAACAAGAGGCCAATGGGCCACATCACTCACCTGAGTACATGGGCTAGTTAAAAAAACACAAATCAGCTCAGTATTGAAAAGTTTACTTGTTGGGGGAGGGGGGATTTGAATTTTCTATTACTTGAGAATGTCACTATATCAACTAGAGGTACTGCGAGCAATAAGCTCACTAAATGATACCCCCCACCTCCAATTGGGAGTGTCTGTTTTATGTTGTGGAAACCCATAATATGTGTCCGATCGAAAAATAAAATAGGAGGTGCACAATGGCAATATGTAATAATTAGATTCTGTGAATGTTTCATGAAATTTCATTCAATGGTATGGGAAGAATTGCAGATAAGAGATGGGTACCCCAAAGTGTAACAGGCAGACGGATGTACAGGTAGATGGACATACCGATTACTATATACCCTCCCGCTTTTTCTAGCGGGGGTTATAATAAAGCATATATGTATAATTTTGCCATACTTGAAAAGAAGACTTTTGATCTCCCGTTGTGACCCCCCCCCCCCCCCCCCCCATTCAGGAATTATCTTGACATTATTTGAATAAATTTGAATCTTCACTACGTGCAGATTCTTACATGTCAATATGACTAAACAAAGCTTTTCTGTTCTGGAGAAGATTTTTTTTCCTATAATTATATTCTTATGCAAATCTTTGATCCCTAATTGTGGCCACATCCTATTTTGAACAAACCTGAATCTAAACCACCTGAGGATATATACTTCCATAAGTTCCATATAAAAATATTACTAATTATGGATTTGGTAGGTTTTTTTTCAGATATTTTAGTATAAATTCATCCCACATTGTGTCCCCGCTCTACCCCCAAGAATTCGGATTTGAACAATCTTGAAACTACACTACCTGAGGATGCTTCCATATAAATATAACCAAGCTTGCCATGGCTTTGCTGTTCTTGAGAATAAGATTTTAAAAGATTTTTCCTATATATTTCTATGTAAAGAATTTCAAGACCCCTGGGTCAGGGGTACCGGGGGGGGGGGGGGAGGGGGGGGGGGGGGGGGGGGGGGGGGGCTCTTCTTGAAGAATTAATTGTTTGAAATCTGCTCCTTGGTATTAATCAAACAATTTTGATAAGCAAGGATGCCTTTTCCAAAATAGTGAAATGTGTGGACCAAGGGTCAGGGGTTTATGTGTGGTAGTGGCGCTACTGATTATTGCTGAATATTACTGATTAGTCGAAATGCATTTTTTTGTTCCCCTACTTTGTCTATGGGTATTAAGTAACCAAAATAAGCATGAAAAGTGTATAGCTATGATAAGTAATGGTGCCTCTTTCAAAACTGTGAATGCCATGACGTGTAGTTTAAAACATGAACCAAATTCAATCGTTGGAAAGTTGTTGCATGATGCTCAGGTGACCTATAAGGCCTATGGGCCTCTTGTTTTTTAAGATGTCACCCAAGGTACGCAGGGTCCCCACGTCTTATACCAATAGGACACCTTATTATCTCAAATTCTCTTCTGGTCTCTAACCAATACAGCTTATAATGAATGATTTCTTTTTGGTAATAAACAAGTCAACCATGTGTTTACAGTTACAAATATCAAAGTTGCTTTTTCCAGAATTGTAAAATTCATGACCCTAGGGTCAGGGTTTCCGTAGTCAGATGGGACTCTCTAGTCAAAAGTGCATCGTTTCTTTGAAAATGTTTTCTCTTCTCCCGGGTATAAAGCAAAATATTTTACCTCATGTCCTTGCGTATGATCTACTTTTTTTTTTTAAAATTTGCAAATCGTCATATTTCCTGGATGGATTGTTTCAGGGTTTTTCCTTTGACAAGACCTTTTATTTTGGTATCAACATTTTTGAACTCTTGTACTTGGGATTCTTCCGTTTAAAACTGTTTTTCTCACGCTGGTTTGAATTGGCGATGACATTCCATCTTGAAAGATTACTACACTACAGATTACTGTACCGGAATGTTTTACGTATTCAACTTTTCCCGGTCTATTTTACATTTATACTAAAGTGTCCCACAACTTTGAGTATGTTTTTTTTTTTGTAAATAGAAAACAGATTGGGTGCGTTCACAGTTCTGCCGTTGGTAGACAAAAGTTGCCGTTGGTAAAATTAATTACCATTGGCATGCCACTGGTACCAATGTTTTTTGCCAAAACATGTATATTTTTGCTCCTGTTTGTCTAGAGTGTGGTTTTGTGTTGGTAAATGAATCACAGCTAGTTATCAACATTTCAACAAGTTATAAATGGTATCCACAAAATGTGACAATATATAATACATTTAATTGCAGCATCCTTTTTACAAAATAAAATCACATAAAAATCATATCAAACACTTATATTCATGATTTTGAAGTATGATTTAACATTTATTAAATTTTTATATAAAACTGTAGATTTATGGCAACTAAAGAAAAGTGATCCCTGTGGTTTGTTTGTGAATAGGATATGCTATGATTTTCTTCATTCTGGCATGTGCTAATAACTTAGAAGACAAAGAAATCTGTAATTTCCTTCCAATAGCAAAGAATGTCTAAAAAAAATACCCATTGGTAACATTGGTAAAATTGTTAATTTATGCCATTACTGACAGGGTTTATAAAACTGGTACCAAAGATCAAAATATATTGTTAAAAACCTTGTATATTGAAAGTTTTCAATCTCACAACACTAAGCACCCATTGTTGTTTCAGTAATCCTCTTATTTTTTACATTTCAGAGAACTTTACGGAATGAGGAATAACCAATTTTCAGCATGTGCTTTAAAACACCGTAAAACATGCTATAAGTTATGCTCTTGTTTGGTACTATGATGTACTTTTGCTGATTCGTAGATGAATCACAGACTTTCAAATTTCAAGTTATAAATGGTAGACACAAAATGTGATAACATAAATTCATATAATTGCAGCATACGATAATAAAGACAATTGAATTGTATGGAGCGCCGGGACGCCGGGTCTTTTATGAGGATTAAACATTTATACGATGTATATATACGGTATATGATGACCGTCAAGCGAAAACCACCCTTAAGTCAAAATTTTGACATTTTGAGTTGTTTAGTGATCATGATAGACAATTTTCTTCTCTTTCAAATGATATATAACATGTCGTTGTTCAAAGAATAAATATTGGTGATTTTTTTAAAATAAAAAATACATATCCTTTGTCATGACGCTGTGTTTTATCAGACAACGTCAATTATTTTCTTCTCACAATTCCATGGTTGTGCTGTAAAAACTGCACAAGATAAATCACCTCGGACAACGAATGACATTGTACGTATAAAAGATTTTTATTTAATTAATTTTTTATTGTTCCTTTTTATGATCGATAATTTTAACATTTTAGAAGAAAAATCAAATTTTTTTTAATTAACTCCCTCCCCCAGTCCCCTTAGAAAGGAGACAGGAGAGCACGAGATGTTTTGTATCTTTTTAGCTCACCTGAGCCGAAGGCTCAAGTGAGCTTTTCTGATCAAAATTTGTCCGTTGTCTGTCGTTGTCGTTGTAGTCGTTGTTGTCGTTGGCGTTGTCGTCGTCGTAAACTTTTCACATTTTCATCTTCTTCTCAAGAACCACTGGGCCAATTTCGACTAAACTTGCCACAAAGTATCCTTGGGTAAAGGGGATTCAAGTTTGTTCAAATGAAGGGCCACGCCCTTTTCCAAGGGGAGATAATCATAAATTTGAGAAAAATTAATGGCATTTTAAAAAAAAAAATCTTCTTCTCAAGAACCACTGGGCAAGGAAAGATGAAACTTATGTGGAACCATCCTTGGGTAGGGTAGATTCAAGTTTGTTCAAATCATGACCCCCGGAGGTAGGGTTAAATTCAAAATGGCCGACAAAGTTTAACATAGGAGTATATAGGAAAAATCTTTATATATCTTCTTCTCAAGAACCACTGGGCCAGGAAAGATGAAACTTGTGGAACCATCCTTGGGTAGTGTAGATTTTTGTTCAAATCATGACCCCCGGGGGTAGGGTGGGGCCAAAATGGCCGACAAAGTTTTACATAGGAATATATAGGAAAAATCTTTATAAATCTTCTTCTCAAGAACCACTGGGCCAGGAAAGATGAAACTCATGTGGAACCATCCTTGGGTAGTGCAGATTCAAGTTTGTACAAATCATGACCCCCGGGGGTAGGGTGGGGCCAAAATGGCCGATCAAAGTTTAACATAGGAGTATATAGGAAAACCCTTTACAAATCTTCTTCTCAAGAACCACTGGGCTGGAAAGATGAAACTCAGGTGAAATTATCCTCAGGTAGTGTAGATTCAAATTTGCTCAAATTATGACCCCCGGGGGTAGGGTGGGGCCAAAATGGTGAAAAGTTTTACATAGGAATATATATGGAAAACTTTTAAAATCTTCTTTTCAAGTACTTTAAAGCCATGATTAGAGATATTTATATGGAATCATCCTCGGGTAGTGTAGATTCTAGTTTGTTCAAATTATGACCCCTGGGGACACAATGGGGGATCAAAGTTTTACCTTATTTAAAAATATATTTTAAAAGTCTTCTTATCAAGAATAGCAAAGCCATGATTTTTTTTATATTGAAGCATTCTTAGGAAGTGTAGAATTAAATCTGTTCAAATCATAACCCCAAAGGGTAGGTTGGGGCCACTATTGTGGAACAAATAAAGGAAAAAATCCCAAGAACAGAAAAGCTATGTTTAGTCATATTTGCGTGTAAGCATCCTCCTGTATTGAAGATTTAAATTTGTTCAAATCATGGCCCTTTAGGATAGGGAGGGAAACAATGGGGAATCAAATTCAAATT